CTGCAGTGCCCTGCTCATTTGATACTGCCGCTGCAGTGCCCTGCTCATTTGATACCGCCGCTGCAGTGCCCTGCTTAATTTGATACCGCCGCTGCAGAGCCCGGCTTAATTTGATACCGCCGCCTCAGTGCTCTGCTTAATTTGATACCGCCGCCGCCATGCCCTGCTCATTTGATACCGCCGCCACAGTGCCCTGCTCATTTGATACAGCCCGCCACAATGCCCCGCTTAATTTGATACCGCCGCATCAGTGCCTGCTCATTTGATACCGCCGCCGCAGAGCCTTGCTCAGTTGATACTGCCGCCGCTCATTTGATACTGCCGCCGCAGTGCCCTGCTCATTTGATACTGCCGCCGCAGTGCCCTGCTCAGTTGATACTGCCGCCGCAGTGCCCTGCTCAGTTGATACTGCCGCCGCAGTGCCCTGCTCAGTTGATACTGCCGCCGCAGTGCCCGGCTCATTTGATACTGCCGCCGCAGTGCTCCGCTTAATTTAACACTGCTGCCGCAGTGCCCTGCTCATTTGATACAGCCGCCGCAGCAGTGCCCTGCTTAATTCGATGCCACCGCCACAGTGCCCCGCTTAATTCGATACCGCCGCCACAATGCCCCGCTTAATTTGATACCGCCGCATCAGTGCCTGCTCATTTGATACCGCCGCCGCAGAGCCTTGCTCAGTTGATACTGCCGCCGCTCATTTGATACTGCCGCCGCAGTGCCCAATTTGATACTGCCGCCGCAGCGCCCCGCTTGATTTGATACTGCTGCTGCAGTGCCTCCATTCGTCGTTTCGAGACTAATGGCTTATTCAGCATTGGACCGGGCTCTCCCTTCCGGTGTAGCAGAGCCGCGTCTCCCTTCGGTCGCAGCAGGAGCCCTCCATCTGTTGTTTCGAGATTCAAGGCTTATTCAGCATCGGACAGGGCTCCCCCTTCCGGTGCAGCAGAGCCGCAGCTCCCTTCGGTCGTAGTGAGAGCCCTCCATCCGACGCTTTAAACCACGCCACGTATTCAGCTGCAAGAGGGACTCTCCCTTCCGGTGCAGCAGAGCCGCAGCTCCCTTCGGTCGTAGTGAGAGCCCTCCATCCGACGCTTTAAACCACGCCACGTATTCAGCTGCAAGAGGGACTCTCCCTTCCGGTGCAGCAGAGCCGCAGCTCCCTTCGGTCGTAGTGAGAGCCCTCCATCCGACGCTTTAAACCACGCCACGTATTCAGCTGCAAGAGGGACTCTCCCTTCCGGTGCAGCAGAGCCGCAGCTCCCTTCGGATGCAGCGAGAGTCCCTCATCTGGCCTTCCATCGTGCTCCTCATTCGGCGACAGGTAGGGTTGCCATCTGACGCGGAGAGTCGCAGCTCACGTTCAAGCACCACACGACCCCTCCCAATCGCCCTGCCGCCTCCTCGCACACCCTACTTTTCTTCATGGCACGCATATTTTTGGGGGGGCTACTTAGTTATACACGTGCGTCTCCTCCGGCGGGGAGGCGATGGCTCTCAGCTCGTTCTCATCTGCGTTCTTCACTCCTGCAGATTCACACAGTCAGAAAAAAATATTCATTTACAAACCCGTATCTGAGTCAGAGCTGGTTTTGTTCTGGCACCGATCGCAAATAGCTCAATCCCAGCGTCTCTGAGTCTCTGAGCAGGAGAAAGAACATCGTCCTGTGATTTCCCATCTGTGATCAGAATCCCAATCTTAGGAACATCAGGTCTGGATCCAGATTCAGCTGTGAAGCTGTTCTCCAGAATATACATCAGAGCAAGACCTGAAAACACACACACATGTACAAACAGATGCATTACAGTGAGAATCATTTAGATGTGTGTGTGTGTGTTAGTGTGAGAGAGCGTGTTTGTGTGTGTGTGTACCTGTGAGTGTTTCCTCCTTTATAAGCCAGATTCCTCATGGCGTCAATCACACCCTCTTTAGTGCTGTGATTGTTCAGATGCCACTCGAGCCGCGGATCCCCACTGTACTGCACCAAACCTGAACACACACAAAAACACAAACACACACACACACACACACACACACACACAAACGCAGCGAATCTAATCCAATACTGAACACTAAATACAGCACAAGCACAGTGAAACGGCTGTTCTTCTCCTGTTGATCTAGCTGCATGTAAATGTTCCGTGTGTTGGAACTAAAAACACTCCAGACGTACCAATGCGTGTTTGGTCTGATCCAACCACGAAGGCCCCGACAAACATTCCCAGAAAGTTCAGCATTAAATTAAAGTTATTACGACCAATACTCCACGATCCATCGACCAGAAACACGATATCAGCGATGGCTGGAGTTTCACATGTGAAGACGACCACTATAGAGACAGATTTTAATATTGGTCAGATATTTGATTCACATCTTTTTATTTTTGTCCAGTCAAGTCAAGTCAAGTCACCTTTATTTATATAGCGCTTTT